GCTGGGGACCCCATGCGCCCGACGTTGCCAGCCCACCACCTGCTCTAAGGTGACCAAGCAGGATCACTATGCTGAGGTTCAATCAAGTTCTTAGGGCTTACTGAGCCTTTTAAACTTTTTACTATGGAGAATTTTAAATCAATATAAAATAACTGGAATACTCTGAATTGCCAAGTGCTTCTCATGCTGTAGCAACAATGGTCAATTCATAGTCAGTTTTCTCTCATGAATAACCTACTGACTCCTCCACCCGTAGTTTCGTATGTATCACTAAAGGATAATTTCTGTTTTTAACACAAACACAATATTATCACATCAAAAGAACAGTAACATTAACACAGGCTAATGAGCTGGACTATAAGATCTGTTTGAACCACAAGGGTGGCAGTTCAAGCTCACCAGCCGCTCCTTGGAAACCCTATACAAGGTCACTGTAAGTCAGAACCAACTCGAAGGCACTTATGTTACAACAACAGCAATGTTATCTGGCCTATGTTCAAATTTTTAGCTATCTTATAAATGTTAAAGACAACTTGTTCTTTTTTCTCTGCTACTTATTTGTCTAAATCAGGATGCAAATGAGTTCCATACTTTGCAATTGATTGATACGAGGGGACATCTGAAAGTTCTTGGGAAAATGGAATGAAAAGATAATGGAATTTTTCCATGAACTTTTCAAGGCTCCCTGGTATGTCTCTTAAATCTCTTTTAATCCCCTTTTATCTCTTTTTATAATCTCCATGTAGTTTACGTTGTGGAAAACCTGGCTCATATGTCCCATAGAGTTTTCTACAGTCTGAATTGTGCTGATTCTCTCCCCCTATGTCATTTAACGTGCTCCTCTGTGTTTTCCTACAAATTGCTGTTTGGGTCTAGGTCTAAACAATTAATCAGATTCAGATTTGTTCATTTGTTTTGTCTGGCACATTCCAGCAAGCCAGGGACGTTTATTAATATCAAAGAAATTATGCAGGCATTATGCACTGTAAGAGTCAGAGGTCATTTGGTATGATTTCCCACCTGCAAGGATTTCTTCATTTCAAGGTGCATTTAGGAAATCTTTTCTATCATGCATTGTGCTAGTAGGGGACAGAGATAAATAAATAAAAATAAATGATACTGTTGTGGCCAGCACCTACAGTGGAATGAAAATATGTAGAAATTCATTTGCAGTCAGGTGTTACAACAGTCTCATCTAGCAAGCCATGCTTAAATTACACCGGTTAGAGAAATCAGAGGTCTGACCTCGCTAGGACGACCACAGAGCTGATGAAGGACTCGAGTACTTCAGTCCTGCCATGCTTCTGCTGACACACAGGATTTCCTCCACCAGGAACATTTGCTTAGCTGATTCCTGTTCATCCTTCAGGACAAAGCTTAGATGTCATCTGTTGAGGCTACCGCTTCTCCTACGTATAGCGTCATCAGAAGCACAAGAGGAAATGGAGTATTGGAGCAGTAGAGGAAGTATTGAGCTGGAAAAAGGAGTGAGAATCGGTGCAGATACAGGTGTGCACATCTGGATAATTGTTGTTGTTTAAGTGCCTTTGAGTCAGTTCCCGCTCATAGTGACCCTGTATAGGGTTTTCCGAGGAGCAGCTGGTGAACTTGAACCACAGACCTTGTAGTTCAATCTGACCTTGTGGTCCACGGCATTAACCCACAGTGCCACACACTAATGGCTGTGGGGGAATACAAAGATGAAGCGCTCCTGGATTTCACCCTCAAACAGCCCATGGCTGAAGGCAGTGCCTTCCAAGTGGCGGGTCATGGCCACTTACAGTGTGTCATTAAATCAGTGCATTTTGTTGTGGTAATTGAAGAAATAATAGAGTGCATCCCGTGTAGTGAGGGCCATTGTTCAGGAAACGTTGGTTTCCATTGTCAGTAGATGTGTGTGTTATTGGGTCCTTGTGTAAAATATATCTCTTACTGTGGAGATTTGGCAGAAATGTTTGAAAAGCACTGATCTGCGAACAAGATAATACACATAAAATGTTGATACCCTTCTTCTGTTCTGTCAGCATTTAGTAAAATTCACTGAGCACTTAACCGTGGGCTCGTCACCAAAATGAGCAGGTGTTCACAGGAGAAAGCTGTGGAGAGATGCAGACAAAAAGGCTGATAAGCGCTAAAACAATGCCTGCAAATAATCCCAAAGAAGTAGGCTACAGGAGTATTCCAACCTGGACTATTAGCTAAAGACAGAAAGAAGGCAGGGTTCACATGCAGCCCTCTCAGCCCCGGGCACCAAGACAGAAATGAGAGTTCTTGGCTGAAACTGTAGTAAAGCTAGAGTGGAGTATGTGGCGGGGAAGGATAGCAATCAGTCCATACAGGTAGGTGGTTACAAGTGTCAAGTCCATTCCAGAGCAGAACTGCCCTGCAAGCTTTCTAAAGCTGTGATCTTTACCAGAAGGAACCCTGGTCATGCGGTGGTTGCGTGTTCTGCTGTTCGAATCCACCAGCCAGTCAGTCAGTCCGTCAGTCACTGGGAGAAAGGTGTGGCAGCCTGCATCTGGAAGAACCAACCTGATGGCAATACTTGGCAGGTTTTGTGGTTACTCGTTAAGGAAGCAGACTAGTGGCAACAGCTGGTGGGTTTGTACCACCAAGCTTTCGGTCTGACTGCTTGACTTACCACTGTGCCACCGGGGCACCTTGAAAGGCAAGTGGTGGTGGTGTGTCACCGAGTTGGTTCCGACTCATGTTATTGTTGTTGTTATGGGCTGTGGAGTCGGTTCCAACTCATAGCAACCCTGTACAGGGTTTCTGAGGCTGTATATCTTTATGGGAGCAGAAAGCCTCATCTTTCTCCCACCGAACGGCTGGTAGTTTTGAACTGCAGACCTTGAGGTTCACAGCCCAATTAGTAACCTGCCAGAGCTACCATAGTGACCATAAATCTTTATAGGAGCAGAAAGTCTCATCTCTCTCTCTTGCAGAGCATCTGGTAGATTTGAACTGCTGACCTTGCCGATAGCAGCACAATGCATAACCCACTGCGCTACCAGGGCTCCATTCAAGAACATTGAATGCTATACTGAAAGTTTGTACTGTGTCCTGTTGCCCAGGAGTTGGCAAATTTATTTACTAAACCGGGAGGGCAGAGGCTGAATTTAACTTACATCCTTGCTTTGTTGTTAAATGCCATCGAGTTAGTTCCAACTCATGTCGACCCTGTATAAGGTTTCCAAATAGCAGCTGGTGAGCTTGAACCTCCGATCTCGTGGTTCAAACCAACTTTGTAGTCAAATACATTAACCCACAGCACCACACCAGGACTCCTCCCTTTGTTTGGTGGTTATGTGCCGTGGAGTCGGTTCTGGCTCATAGCGACTCTGTATAACGTTTCTGAGGCTGTAAATCCTTAAGGGAGCAGAAAGCCTCATCTTTATCCCATGAAACAGCTGGTAGTTTCGAACTGCTGACCTTCAGGTTAGCAGTCCCTTTGCTTAGTGGTTCTTAAAAGGTAAGTCCATCAGAATCACCTGGAAAATCTCTGGATCATGTGATCACATCCTTAGCATTTTTGGTTCAGAAGACATGACAGGAGTCTGAGAATTTACAGTTCTAGTAAATCCCCAGGTGATTCTGATAAACAGTTGACTAGGCACACTTGGTGTGGCGCTGTGGGCTAATGCGTCAGACTGCAAAGTCGTTTGAATTACAAGGTTGGCAGTTCAAGCTCACCAGTTTCTCCTTGGAAACCCTATACAGGGTCGCTATGGGTCAGAATCTACTCGACGGCACTTAACAACAACAACAACAACAACAAAGGCATACTTGAAGCTGGGTGGTGAAGGTTAGTAGGAAAGCAAGAATTCGATTGCTGAATTCCTTGGCTCATAAGTTCTAAGTGGCTATTGAAGAATTTTTAGTGTGATATGAAGAAGTACTTAACTTCAAAAAGTTAATCTGACAATTCAAGGAGATAAGACCTAAGACTGTTGGCATAATTTGGTAATCAAGTTATTAGCAGTGAAAATAAAAGGCAACAATAAAGATGCCTCATAGAATAGTCAGAGGATTTTCTGATTCATTTGGAAATAAAAGGAGAAGGACATTGTATTCACTGTTGGGAAGAGAGGGAAATGATGGACTCATTGACAAAAAAAGGAATTTAAATGGAGGCTTATTCAAAAGTTGGGCACTGAAAAAATGTTCATAATGTTGACTCTATCTAGCAGACAGTAGTGATGTGGGGCTGGCTCTCAGGAAAGAGGTTGTAATTAAATAAATGTTTTGGAATCATCTTTTTGTAGGTGATTTTGAAAGTGTCAGAGTGTTTACTTTTTGTAGTTGAAGAACCAAGCGCCAAAGACAGATCCTTATGGAGGGAAGGTTACTCGGTGGGCAGAGCAAAGGCAGGAGGGGAGAAGTAGTCAGAAATGAAGAGCAGCCAAGTTGATGTCCTAGCAGAAGAGCAATGGGAAGAAAAGCTTCTCAAAGTGGGAGGCATGCTGGGGTTCTTACCCGAATAATTCTGTGCACACCCTCAAAGACGACACAGCAGAAGTCCTGGATGGCAGTAGCCACTTGATGTGTAAATTCAGAAGACACCGCAGGATAAAACTCTTCTCTCTCTCTCTAGATATATACATATATATATATAGGCAGCTTGCCGTATTCTTCCTGACATGGTCAAACACCTGATCTTATTTAATCCCCAGACTAGTTCTCCTTCCCCCCCCCCCCCCATACTGTTTTTCAATAGGAATTGCAATCTCTCTTTTGCAAATGAGGAAAGTGAATGAGATCCATGTAAAGCAGCTTGGCTGCCAGACCAGTACACTGGCTCTCTGAGTCCCTCACAGGACACTTGTTGGGCCAGTGTTTTCTGTCCAGCACTGTGTGCCACATCAGCAGTCTAAATCAGTAGTCATCTAGAATGTTTTACTTGTACAAAGCAAGTTGGCCAAAAATAAAGTTTAAAAAAAATGGGTTTGACACTGTTGATTCAGACTGATAACAACGGACAGTTTAGGACATACCTCTCCCACTCCAAGAGCAGAAAAGTTGTTTGCATGGTAATTTCATTTACTCCTTTATGAAAATAGAGTTAGCATCTTAGCTTCCAAGGTTGCTGTAAGAACTAAAGGAAGTGATGCTGATAGTAAGAATAACCACTTAACCTCTGACACCAACATTAGGGTGTTACCTGCCCAGCTTTGTGCTCCGCACTGCATTTGTTCAGTCCTTACAGCCCCTGTGAGCTAGGTACCAAAATCAGCCCCATTTTACAGATGAGAAAACACTAAACGACTTTCCCAAGGTCACTCAGCCGGTAAATGACAGAGCCCAGATTCCGACTAGTTTCAGATTTGCTTTTAACTGCCACAGCATACTGTTCCCTGTAATGTAAATGAATACAAAATCTCACATAAATCCCCACTCCTCATAAATATTTTTCTTCCTTTTCTGACATCAATTCAGCATATATTTACTAATGATAGGCTACTAAAGAAATGGAATAAAAGTGGATGTTTTTGTTTTTAATTGCTTTACATGAATTTTCACATTTCTTTCCTAGCTCAATGTCAATTGCTGCAAGCTTAGTGAGTGAAGATACAAAGACCAAGTTTTTGAACAAAATGGGCCAGCTGACCACATCTGGCGCCATGCTGGCCAATGTGTTCCAGAGAAAGAAGTAGCAGCAGGATGGAAGCCTCAGTGAACACTAAGGCGGAGCCCCAGCCGGCTGCTCCCTTGTACTTGAAGGACTTGGACTTACCCTTTGATCCCCTCTGTTTTCTGCCCTTGCATTACCATTTTTGTCCTAATCTCCAAAGATATTTGCACTGTTATTGATTATTGCTGTTCTCTGTGTTCATTTGGGTTATGACTGTGGTGATAGCAAACAAAGTCAGTAGTCTGTACCAAGTCCCTCTTCTGTGTTCTTGTCTTTCAGAATATATATAGAAGAGTTTTGTGTTGCTTTATTGTTTTTTGTTTTGTTTTTTTAAGTTTTGGATGGGATATTAGCAAATATCTGTATTATACACTGAGTTATTACAATGGTACTTAAAATAATGTAAATTTGAAGTCATTGTTATAAAGTAATAAAAGTGAAGATTACTTAAGTATTTAAATTATGAAAGATTAATGCAGACTTTGTACTGTTTCTGAACTGACAAGAAAGAGCCACCAGCATGATTCTGTGCCTTTTGGACTTGAGTTTGTTCTGTGGGGATTGTGTACATTCCCTTCACACGGTATTTCTTGATAATGCTGTGATGAATTTGAGTTACAAACCCTACAGCAAGTAGATGGTGATGAAGCTTCCAACATCTCAGAGCTCTCCTGAACATTATCTAAATGCCTTTGCAGCCTCCCCAGCACTTCCCTGCCTGTGATGGACTTACCTGAGGAGAGATAGCACATAAGCCTGGGACCTGGTAACCAAGGTGAACTGTACACTCTGGTGTGTAGTGTATTCCAGTGCTCAGGAATAAGTATCACTAAGAAGCGCTAATAATTGTGAAAAGCTTCCCAAACTGAAATACAGAAGAAAATTGGCTTGGACCTGAAATTCTGCCTTTCTGTATGTATTATTTTCTGATGATTTTCATTTCAGATATTACCTTTTCATTGTGTGAATGACAGAGAAGTACCGAAAAGTTAAGGACATTGGAGCTGCTTTTTTCCTTTCAATAAAAATGGCACTGGCTAGAATGCTGTTGGTTAGTTCCCACATCCCCCGAGGGCAGTCTGTACACTTGACTGTGTTTGGAATCTGTTATTACACTGAGGCTTTTTAAGTCCATGCACAGATTGCACTGGAGTTTGCGGTTGTCTGTACAGGACTGCCACTTGAAGTAGACGAGTGGCTGTGAGAATGGCAGTCAGGGCTTGGTTGGCTCCAGGGCTTCTGTGAGGCCTTTTTGAAAGATGAATATTTTGATAAAGAGCATCTTGGTTGAGTATAGTTGATGCATACAGGTGTGTTTCCTATCTGTTGTATAAACTGGCACTTGAAACATAAATTCAATTACTTTTATTTCTTGGAAAAACTAGATCACTACACATTCAAGCGTATAAAATAATTTGCCACCGGCAAAGCTATTCAAACTATTCATTCTGAAATTATTTTCTTCACCTACAGTGAAATAATTGTTAACTCCTACTCTCTCTGGAAACTGTTGGATTCTAGGCATTCCTGAGAAACTGAAAGTGGCTACCTTTCATGTCAAAATGTTGATCTATTATAAATAAAATGTTTTTCATACTTTTGGGTTTTCTTTGGCAATGTGTTCTATTTCTGTTTTGAAATACTATATCCTATATCCATGCAAAAGAAATTATAAAGCATATAATCACAAAAGTAGTATTTTAGGCATGTAATTTATATGAACTACTTGATTTATTTTACTAACAAGAGATTGTTTTGCTATATAGTGAATACATTTCAGAGATAGTTAAAAGAAAAATGTTAAAATTCTAATTTGCTCTGAGCTATAATAGAGTAACTTTGTTACTACTGAAAGAACAGGTATATAGTGCAACTTATTGTAATTCTTATTAATTAATGATGCCATGTATTTAAATTCTGATGATTTCTTAAAGACTGCAAACAAAATATGGGGTCCTGGTGTGGCGCTGTGGGTTAATGCGCTAGACTGCAAAGCTGTTTGACTGCAAGGTCGGCGGTTCAAGCTCACCAGCTGCTCCTTGGAAACCCTATACAGGGTCGCTATGGGTCGGAATTAACTCAACAGCACTCAACAACAATAACAAACAAAATACATACTATACTTTCAATTGAGTCTCCCATATTAATTATGCCCTTAAGTACCTTAGTATTGCTAAAATTTCACATTTAGTAATTCTGATTTTTATACTAAAGCATGGGCTTATTGAAGAAAGACAAGACCGACACTAATCATTCAGGCTGAGTGTGATCGTCGAACACAGGCCATTTTGTTTACCCATGATTCAAACTGGCTCATTCAGGTTCAACCCCCAGCTGAGAAGTGACCTCTCTCCCTCAGATATCCTCGGCATTACTGAGCTGAAATGGCCTGGTATTGGCCATTTTAAATCTAACAGTCATATTGTTACTGTACAGGTAATGACAACTTGAAGAATGGCATCGTATTCATCAGCAAAAAGAGCATTTTAAGATCTATCATGCTGTATGTGATAGGATAATAGCCATACCCCTACAAGGAAGACTGTACTCCTGGTATGGTGCTATGGATTAATGCGCTGGACTGCAAAGTTGGTTTGAACTGTAAGGTTGGCGATTCAAACTCACCAGCCGCTCCTCAGAAACCCTATACAGGGTCACTATGAGTTGGAACTGACTCATAGCACTTAACAACAACAACAAGGAAGACCAGTTAATACCACTATTCAAATTTATGCACCAACCACTAAAGCCAGTGATGATGAAACTGAAAAATTCTACCAACTCCTTCAGTCTAAAATTGATAAAAAGTGTAATCAAGATGTATTGATAATTACTAGTGATTGGAATGCAAAGGTTGAAAACAAAGAGTTGGAAAATACAACCTGGTGATAGAAATGATGCTAGAAGTTTGTGATAGAATTTTGCAAGACCAATGACTTCTTCCCTGAAAACACCTTTTTAAACAACATAAAACACAACTATACACATGGACCTCACCAGGTGGAATACACAAAATCAAATTGACTTCATCTGTGGGAAGAGATGGTGGAAAAGCTTCACATCAGCCAAAATCAGAGCAGAGCTGACTGTGGAACAGACCATCAATTTCTCATATGCAGGTTCATAAGAAAATTAAAACAAGTCGTAGAGAGCCAAAATTTGACCTTGAACGTAGTCCATCTGAATTTAAAAGTCATCTCAAGAACAGATCTGATGTGTTAGACACAAATGACCGAAGACCATAAAGAAAATGGAAGAAATGAAGTAAAAGCTGAACAGAAAATTTCAAAGGGCAGCTATAGAAGACAAAATATTATCATGAAATGTGCAAAGACCCAGAGTTACAAAACCAAAAGGGAAGAACACATTCAACATATCTCAAGCTGAAAGAACAGAAGAAAAA